GATTGGGAGTCGGTACCAGGGCATGGGAAGGAAGGTTAGGGGATTTTGTAACCGTCTGGGGCAGGTAAATTCGGATGTGGCTGAGATGTGTTAAAAGGATCCAGTCGGTCTTGCTTCCTCGTTATGTTTGCGCTGTTGGCCAAGAGCGATTTCTGGGCATGTCCAGACGATCATGAACCATTTGCTCCTCTCTACGTTCATGCTGGGACCCAACACTTTTCACCGCCAATGAACAGTAGTGGGTCCCAGCATGAACGTAGAGAGGAGCAAATGGTTCATGATCGTCTGGACATGCCCAGAAATCGCTCTTGGCCAACAGCGCAAACATAACGAGGAAGCAAGACCGACTGGATCTTTTTCAGATGGGGACGGCCTGAGGATCTGGATACGCTTGAGAAATCGGCAACCAGACAAGATCGATGGGCCAACTTTGAGGATTCATGATGTATGTATGCATCCCCCCTGTTGAGAATCATTTGGGTTGTTGCGATGATCCTTCTTTTAAATCCCTGCCCGAGCCCCGAAGGGGGGGGGGGGGGGGGGCCGTTGGGTAGTGCCACGATCGGCCCCAAGAAGCCCGCCCGGCGGGATTTTTTCTTCTGGGCACATACTTCTCCATCACGATGTTCATTCAAAGATGGATAGACTAGTTAATGGCTCACACGGAGATCCTGGTTGACCTATCTATGTACACCGGTCAACGCTTCTCCTGGCCCGAGGAAGTCCACACTTCTTTCCAGACGATTGCATGTGCCTGAATTTATCCTCAGACACGAGCTGTGTTGGCTGCCGTTAAAGTAATCCCTCTGGAGTCCATCTGTGTTCGAAAACCACTTCAAGAAATGAATAACGAGCATTGCATTGCTTTGAAAATTACACATGCTGAACGTTGCGGTTGTTATGTTTTTTTTTTTTTTACGAGCAAACATCTCATCCTTTGTTCTTCTTCGGAAGCCGATCAAAACGGGAGAGATGACTTTTCCTCCAAGATGTGGGAAAAAGAGGATGGATGGATCGTGATGAGAGAGAATGACTAGTTGAGAGCTGCAAGAATGCTAAACCAGACGGAACAGGACAAATCATGGTCAATCATGAGGATGAAGATGCTGTGAGGATGAGAGAAATGAGACATGATATATATATATATATAGGTACATACAGAGACATATCAGAGACACATAAATTAAGGACTAGATAAAACACAAAAACCATAGGAAGAAACACTGATACTATCAAAAGAGAGAGAAAGAGAGAAAGAGAAAGGAGATAAAATCTATTGGAATCATCATGGGGTGAGAATAGCGGTAGAGCAACAAGCAAACAAAGAAGAGACAAAGAAGCTGGATGATTTTATGGAGGAAGAGAGCAGGTGAGGTTTTAAGAAGCCGAAGAAGAGGGAGGGGGCGGGAGATGCGAAGGCTCGCGAGGCTCGATCTGCAGACTGCGTTGGTAGAGCTCGTCGGCCGAGTCTTGGTAGCTCATCAAGTTGCTCATCGACATCCGGATATATGCTGTGATCTGAGGGACCTCTGAGAAGTTAAAAGGCACCTGAAAACGCTCGATTTCGTTCATGATCTTGGTCATTTTCTGATAACAAAGTTAGGTAGTCGAAAGGGAAAGAGAATGAATGTTAGTCCTTGTTATTTGTGGGTAATACCCATGATGGGTTAAGTGATGAGGATCAAAAAAAAAAAAGGACAGTGATAGCTAACCTGATATTTGTCAAAGTTGATCAACTGAACCCCAGGCAGATCAGGAGACGCACGATGGGTCGGATTCCCCTCATGGCAGAACGTCATATCGGTCAAGTAGACGCCCAAGAAGGGGATGCAGGGGGTGCGTGCGTGCCGGAGGGTGGCGCGGTACTCGGCGTAGTTCCGTTGATGGCTCACGGCCTTGTTCATGTTCTCGAACAGCGCCCGGGCTTTGTTCCCAACGCCCTCCCAGGTCCGCTTCAGTCGCAGAATCGTCGACGAGTTCAACGCACTCATCACCGACATCAACGCATTGTAGTTCTGCATCTCCAGTAGTTTCTGTAAGATTGGTAAAAAAAACCCAAGAGTCTACTGTCAGTTCTTGGTCCATGATGTAAATATTTTAACAAGAAAAAAAAAATCACTCACCGAGCCCAACTTGATCAAAAACTTCAAGATCTGTGTGCGTTTCCGAAGGTCGTCTTCATTGAGAATAGTCTCGGTGAACCAACCAGTCATCTTAGTGCTCAAGGCGCTCATAGCGCGAACGTTGACGGCGGATCCGGACTTTTTATTGAAGAGTTGGCCGATGACTTCCTCAGGCTGGATAGCCTGATAGAGTTTAGATTCCATGAGTGTGATCTGACGGGCGAGTTCGACGGGATCGAAGTCTGAGAGTTGGAGAGCGGAGAAGTTGAAGCTACTGGCCCGCAGCTGGGACATCACCGTCTTGGAGATGATGGGCGATGGACAGGCCAGTTTTCCATAGTTCTCTTCCTTGGCCGCGCCCAAGACTTGTTTGGCTTTCGTCCGCGCCTGCGAGCCTGCAGGCTGGATCCCCAGCTGACTCTCCTTCATCCGCTTCTGGACCAGGTCAATCAGTCGCTCTGCCGGCACCGGTAAGGCCGTCGAGAGCTGGCTTTCGGCCCATCGCATGATCACCGGTAAGACGACTTCATCCGTTTCCATCCGCCAATGAAGCTCCAGCCAACTCTTCATCACGTTGTATACCCGTAGCCGGATAGGCGTGACCCTGGAAATGTTGTTCGAGGGATCAGTCGAAGTCACGGGGGTATTCAGTTCAAAAGTGAGCGAGAACCGGGCGATTAAGGCGTTCGAGAATTCAACGGATGTGGTGAACAGTCTGAAGGTCATAAAGAACGAGTGGAAAAAGGTAGCTTCGACCGGAGTGTCATGGGAGGTCATCCTACCCACCAAGCCACGAAGAGTACCTCCCATGACTTGACCATCAGTATTGAGCAGCAATTCTTTCTGCCAGGAGTCCGGGTTTTGTGAGCCACTACTTCCGGTAGGAATTTGGAGCGGCGGTAAGGCCAGAGCTTTGGGGTTTGGACGTTGAGCGGGAGTCGGATGCCTGTCAATGACCTGAGCTGATTCCTCTTCAGGATGGGAGACGCTGGTGGAGGTGGCAGGAGAGGATTCTCGAGAATAACGACCATCTGATGAATTGGCTGTGGAGGGCGAAGCGCGGACCAAATCGATACCATCCGAAGAGCTCAGAGTCGACAGACTGGGACTCGTACGGGGTGCCTGTGTGCCTTGCTTTATTGCTGCTTCTTTTGTCTGTGCCATAAAAGAGGTGTCTGGGGTATATAGAGACTCGACATCACTAGCAGCACTGGGCTCAATTGAGCTAGTATCAGACTTCTTCCAATTTTGTGAAACAGCGCTCCAATTATTCTGGTTCTCGGGTTCAAACGGATTCCGAGTGAAGGCTAGGGCACTCGCCTTTCGTCCAAGCATCGACAGGGTGTGACGAGATCTCATGGAGAGTGATCCGTTAGTGTCTGGGAATGAGCTTGTGTTGAAGTAGGCGTGAAATGAGGGTCGATTGGATGAAAGCTCGAACTCTGCATAGCCTGGATCCATTCTGGTCAGACAGGCCGAGACGGCATCCATGCAGCTGTTGGTAGACCGAAGGACGGCCGTTGCGGAGGCGAGTAAGGAGTCTGCTTCTTCCTCCTCGGGCGATGTGGGGCAAGACATAGTAGGGGAAGCAGAGGTCGCCACCCGGGCGGAAGTGACCAGGCCAGTTGTTGAGACGTAGAGTGACTCGCGGGCTGGACCTAGCGGGGGCTCATTTTTGATTGGAGGTAGCGCGCGAACTGTAGGATTTTTGGAGATGCACTCGACTAACGTCAGCATCTCGCAAACGTTCTCAATGACGTCTCGAGTCATGTCGATCAGATGGGCATGGCTGGCCGGGTGAGCGGTTGAGGAGTGGATGTGCGCGTGGCCGATGAATACAGCTACGGTGGAAAGCACCTGATCGTGAGTTTTCTCAATCAACCCTAGGATATGAGTCACTGAGACTAGGGTGAAGGTCGCAGAGGATGGATTGGATATAGTCGATTGTACCGAAGTGATCGAATCAAGCCTACGGTGGTGGTGGTGAATGCTAGATGCAGCTTTGCTAGACTTGATTGATGGGGTACCCTTCAAGGATTCATAAGAGGGGAACTGAAGCAGCGTCCCGACACTTTTACAGGGGCGAATCATCCGGGGGGCTCCATGAGGGTCTGGCGGATTTGGTGAGGAAAGGGACATGGAGCGTTGTCCAATCGACATCGCCAGACTTTCGGAAGGTTTTGGGGAGCTTGGAGTATTGGAGGTGACAGCAGAGCGCTGAGCGATCCGCAGAAGTTCGCGAACATGTGAAAGAATTTGATCCGAAAGCCGCAGGAGGGTTTCAATTTCCTCTGGCTGATGAGACTGAGGGGCGGCTTGGGAGGAATGATTGCTCTTGGTGGTAGAAGACGGAGAGATGACGCGAGCCTGGTCGACCATAGAGGACAGAGCAGATAAGAGCTGCTTCCGGGCGCGACTGAGATTTGGATTGTGGCGCAAGGTAGGTGAATGACGAGCCAAACATCCGGTCGAGTTCAGCGCGGTTCGGACGGCTGAGATGATCTTTGCGGTGGGGGGTTGAACATCGATAGTGGGGTCCCTTCGGACTTGAGAATGAAGCGTGCGGATGGCTAGTGCAATTGGCCCCCATAGCGTACTGCAATCATGCGCTTCTGAAGAGGGTGCTTGATTTTGAGAGGCTAGAGTCGAAGTGCTTCCACCGCGAGAGTGAGCAGGAGTCAGGTCCGGTAATGTTGAGTTCAGAGACAGCAGGGGTGAATCGAGCAGAAAGTCGTTGGCAGTGGCAATGGACGAGGTTAAGGAAGCTGCTGATGGGCGCTGCAGAGAAACTCAGGCTAAGCATCCTTCTTCCGATGGCAAAATAAGAAGGGGGAGGGGGACTATACTCACTCGGACGTAGGCCGGTTTCTGGGTAAGCTGAAAGCTCGCAATATTCGAGGGAGGGATCGGGCTGACGTAGTTACTTGGGAACCAGCCGCGCTTGGCGGGCGGGAAGCGACCGTCTGTGGACACGTTGGCAGCCTTGGATGTCTGGATCATCTCGCCATCCCACCAGCCCGACTTATCACGATTAACCACGCGTATCACCTGTCCTGCCTTAAAAGATAAACAGCGGTTAGTCGAGGGTGTTGTGGCCGGGAAATCATACAATGCTAGAACGAGGTCGTCGACGGCGGGAGGCGAGATGGGGGGTGTGGTGGCCTTGGAGAAGCTCCCGGATGATGGGGAGCCTGGAATTGCAGCCATTTATTGTTGACTGGAACTGGCAAGAATGTGAGTAAATTGAAAAGACAACGTATCGATGATGGTGAGGAACTGTTAAACGATTAAGAAGAAGAGGAGGAGGGAGAGCAAGGGGACCGGCATAGACCGAGGATGAAAATCTTGTAGGAAGCTAGGGCCTAATGGCAGATGGTGATGAGCTGCTGGCCGAGGACGGTAGGATCAAGCCAAGCTAAAAGAAAGAGAAAAGGAAAAAAAGGTTCGAAACGCGAGGGATTGGGGCCGTGCGTGGTGTGGACTTGAGGGAAACAGGGCCAAGTGGGAGGGTTGAGCGATGGAAGAGGAAAGGTCTGGTTGGATATCGGACTAGGTTGGAGGCACGATGGATGAAAAAAGAGAAAAAGAAAGAGAATAGCAGACAGACAGACAGGTGTGAATTTAATCGAGCCAAGCAGTATGTATCTGATGTTTAAGATCGTAGCAATCGAAGTAAGGAGTGAACATCGGAAATGCCGGGGATGGATGGAATGGAGGAGTCAAGCAGGCAGGCATTCGAAATTCTTGGAAGCTGCTGCTGGGTCTTCATGGACCAGATGACATCCTTGGAAGGAAGCTCTTGGGAGCCAAGCTGTAATGCCGAGGCCCGAGGGAGAGAGAGAGAGAGAGAGGAATGTCGAGGCAGCTGGCGTGCTTGTATATGAAATTTCGGATAATTGTCGAACAAGAGTTTCACCCTGGATTTTGGTAAGAGGGCACCTCGAGAATGGGATGGCGACGATGAAGATGGATGAGTTTTTGAACGTTCGTCGAAGCGAGTCAGGCAAATAAAATGATTATAATATTCTTGAAACTAATGAAAAATTGAATGAAGACCAGCCAATTCCGAGTGCAAATTTAGATAAGTAAGAAAGAGAACACGGTTTTGGTCTATCGATAAGCGAATCAAGGCCAATGTGGATTGCTGAAACAATTATAAGGTTGTCTTGTTAAACAGGCTGAAGGTGAGAGAGAGGCGCAAAGCGATTCGAGTTGCAGGGACTCGCAGTTTTTGACTGAGAGGTCAAGAGGAAAGAAGTGAAGGGACTGACCATGGGTTTGTTGGTTCCGACTGGAGCTTGTGAGATGGATAATATGAGGATGAGAAAATCGATTGGATTAATAATAAGGTTTTTGGTCTTTTGGGATGGGCAAACCCAATCAATAAGTAGCTTCTTTCTTCTTGGGGAAAGCGACTATGTATTGATCTGAAGCCGAGGTTGCTGGTGGGTGTCCTTGGAAGTGAATGTGCTGATAAAGGCAAGTTAAAGAGCGTACCATGGCTCCGACTATAATCGGCTGATGATCACTATTTATGTAGCGCCTCACAGTCCCGCCGGCCGATGCCCACATCCACCAAGGATCCAGACCCCAGTTCACTCGAGATGCCGATGATCAAATTCTTCCCTCTCCTGTGTACTCCTTCTTCCATTCCAAGCAGTTGACGATGTGGGTTGCCTCATGGTGCTGAGTGAGGAAGCCTCGAGGGGATATCCCCGTCCCCACTTGAGTTGACTTGCCTTGGTCTTGCAGGCAGAAGGGCTTCACTCGAAGGTCTGTACAAGCTAATGATGATCAACATCCTCGCAGGGCCAATCAGCCAACATTCCCCTTGGACATCAAGAGTGTTGATCTCCGAGCTTCAAGCTTGGCCTTGGCCCTAATTGGGGTGTCTTTCCCGATCTTGAGCTTACAACTTGTAACAAGGAGATATCGATCGCGATATCGGCGCCGGGCTCGGGCCGAGGGACTTGTATCCCGATTCAAGAGATCGTCCCGTTGGTGGCCCCCATTTGGAGGCTGCCATCAGTTTTCTTGGCGCTTTGAGTGAGTCACTCTGAGCCGCTCGTGCAATCTTCATTCCGAGGCTTGCGAGCTGCTTGCAGAGTATTTACCAATTAGCCAAGAGCCCAATTAAAAAACAAAGCCGAGTGTGTCAACCAAGATTGCCAGCGCCAGTAAATTGTTATAATGAACCCGGCTACGGCGACTAAAACTCTGACCGACAGTCCATCCCACCCAAGAGAGCAGCTGATCAAGGGACTGGCGCAGGTTGTGATGGCTGCGAGAGTGGGTGGGGTGGACGGCGGGGCAATTGCCACGTTAGCTTGTTTCCAACTGGAAGTCATCCAGCAAGCGAAGAAGAGTGGGCAGATCGATTGGGCCGGTCTGGTCTTGCACTCGACTCTCCACTTCCAGAGAATCAAGATCGAATTCCAAGCAAAAACACATCAGTCTCCCTGAAGCCCCTCCTCCTCCTCAATCCATCCATCTCCTTCCAATCCCAAAGCTTGTAATATCATCATCATCATCAACTATTATCCTTATTATTATCTTATCCCGGCAGATCCCTTCCTTAATATCGCCCTTCCCGAGCTCGTTGACTGTCCTGGGAGTCAAGATGCCCTGCTTCTAAACTGCCGCCTGGCGCGGTCTCACTTCTTTTTAATCGATTTTTAGAACTGTAAACATCTTGATCTTCTTGCCTCTTTTGCAATTTGGGTTAAATAAGCATAATCCAACCAGAACATCCTATTACTTATTATTTAGCTTCACGACCCTGCTCCAGCAATGCCATCGATGGATCCTTCAAGACAGCGCCGTTCTAGGCTATTACGAGCAGCTAGAGCCGTCCCTCAAACGATCTCTCAGCTCACCGGCGGACTACCCTCAACCTCCTTCTTCACCTCCCCCACTAGGCCATCATCATCCAACCCCGCCAATCCACCTCCAACAAATCCTCAATCAGCTGACAATGATAACAGTCAGCCTCCACCACCATCCGCCTCAAACCCTCGACCTCCCACTCCTGCAGCTACCCCTACTCCAACTCCACCACCACCACCAGCACCTTCCACACCCTCACCCACCTCGAATCTACCAGCTACCCATCCACCTTCCTCGACCCCATCCAGCCTGTCACGCGTCAACGCTAGCACTGATCCAAACCTGCATTCACCCGCCGCCAACAATAGCATGGTCCTGGCTGGCAAATCATCTCAAATCAACTCCTCTCAACAGTTATCTGCAGCAACACCCGTTCCTACCACTATCAAATCAGGACCCAATCTTTCTGCACCATCGCTCATACACAACACTTTACCACCCAACTTCATCGAAGCCATCGTCGTCGTCACAGTTGGGATCGCACTCATCTTGGGAGGCATCTTCTTCTACTGTTTCAAGGTCAAGCGGAGAGAGAAGAGGCTCGATCCAGCCAACGGTTCCTCGGCTTCAGCATCCCACTCCCAAAAAGACCATCCCACCATGCTCCACCAAAGCTCGATGAGTCGTTCGCCCTCGGTGGTCTCTCACAACAGAGGCTTGAATTGGCCAATCGACAAGAAATCCATCAAGGTCAAGAAGAAGACCGAGAGCATCATCAGCTTCGGGCCCGGCCCCGAACCCGACATCCCCCGCTATCCTAGCAGCGTCATGACTCTCACCGACGATCCCCGGAACCATCTCCACGGTCCCCTGATGAGCAAAGAGAACAGCGGCTTCTCGGACCATTCTTTCCATTCTACAAGCGACATTCCTTACGGACATCCCAAGAAGTCAGTCCGTGATCACCACTGAGATTCACACACACACACACACACACATGCTGAGACAGTTTGTTACTTTTTTTTTTCTTTTAGGATCACGGAGGAATACAATCCGGCCGATGAGATCTCGCACATCCCGATCAGCTACGAGGCCAAGCCGGCCCAAGGACGGATGCCGGCCTCCCGGGGCGGCGGCGGCCCGATGAGAGCCGCCCATGATGATCGGCTGCAGGAGGATCATCCAGACCCACACCGGGCGGCCAAAAAAGCAAGCCCTGTTAAACGCTACAATCGGATCTCAAGGGCCGCCCGCAAACTCGTCCCCGCCCGCTTGATCACCGGCGTCGGAATCGATCAAACCGGCTTAGGCGCTCACACAAATAACCCTCTTCTTCCTCCACCCTCGCGCTCGAAAGTCAATAATCCCTCGGCTAAGAATACCGCTCGTCTGCCTCGTAATCATGATCATTATCCCACTAATTATAGCTACTATCAAAGCTGAAAAATCATCATAATCATCATTCAATTCTTGGATTTCTGCCGTGCTCATCAAAATCAAACTATTCCTCCTGTCGTCTCTTTTCTTTTTGCAGTTCTCTTCTATGCGTTGTTTCTTCCTTTCCTTTGCGTTGTGTCTCTCTTTCTTTTTTCGTTTTCTTCCTCCCCCTCCCCTCCCCCGATCCTGCTCACATACATCGACCCCTCCTTCTCTTCTTTTTCATGTGCAAAAATTACCCAAGATTATTTATTTATATTTTTTTTTATATCATCTCCTGTTTTTTTTTTTTTGAGAATGATTATCATGATTATGAAAAACACACACACATCATACTGCTGACACTCATTAGTCATGGCTTGATTGCGGACACATGATAGGGGGAGACAAGAGGGGGGAATATAGAGGAGGAGCGAGGTCTGCCATGCAACACAGCAATACTTGATCAATCATCAGCATGTGTATAAATTGATGCATCAATAAATCATTTCCCCTTCTACTGATTATCTTTGTTAGACTTATCAGAACAATCTCGCACACATAAACATAGAGGGAGGGAGGAGAATGAAGCTTGGGAACGCACTTCTTGGGATAGATTTTTCCTGAAAAGGCGAGCAGGCTTTTTTCAGTATTCTTCCTGTCTTGCTACGAATTGATTATCCATGAGAGTCAATCAATTCAAGCTCTGCGCATTTGAGCCAATATCCCGCGCACTTTTGGCCCTTCTTCACCTCCACCATCCTGTCCTTCCAACGTTCATCAGCTCAGAAAATACTGTGCTTCATATCATCAGAAGAAGTATTCATCCCAGTGCTGCAAAAAAAACCAACTCGGGGTTTGGGGGCTTGTGTAACCTTCCATAACATCACGCAAAAGGAAGTTTGCAGACTCATGTATTGACTTGTTGTGCTCATGCGTTTTGTGGCTTGTGGATCCAAGAGATGGTTTTTATGTGACCAGTGTGTGTTAAATATTATGTGCTTAGATATAGATAAGTGCTTAATACTACTTATTCCCAGTTGATGGGCAAGCAATACATATGTTTCCAGTGGGTATACAGCAAAAAGTGGCTGCCTTTTTTTTTTTGGATTGCAGGGCTCCCAAAACACACAGTACAAGGTGTGAGACTTGGTCAGGTGGTCCAGAATATGTCCTCAAAAATGAATATGAAAAAAAATTATAAAAACAATTAAGAAAAAAAAAAGTTCCGAAATCGGTGAAAAATATAATAATAATTAAATCATTCATTTTTCTCATGAGAAGCTTTGACAATCATTTTGGGGGAGAGTGAGAGTGCTAATTAGGGAAACAAAGAATGGAACATGAGAAGAATGATGATAAGTGAAAAAAGTTTGGAAAAATCAGTTTCCAGATGGTTTCAAACAGCTGTTGAATGTGGGACATTCACCAGCCCGCATTGCAGTAACGCACTAGAATGATTAACTGTAAATTGTAATTATGGCTCCATGAGTCCATTCTCGACAACTAACCAAGCTAAACCTATTTTGGTTCCATTTTTTTGGGGGGCATTTGTAATCATTCTTCCCATGTGCCATTCTTTCCTTCTCTCATGGCACTCCCACTCCCCCAAAATGAATATCAAAGCTTTTGAAAAAAAAAAACCAAAACCTATTCTCTATTATTTTCACAAATTTGGAAACTTTATTTTTTTATTTTTTATATGTATTCTTTTTTTTTGGGACCTATTATGCACCACCTGCCCAAGTCGCATGATGTGAAATGTGTGTTTCAGACCTCTGGAATCCAAGATACACAGCCACTTTTTGCTGTCTACCAACAGTACATCCAGCAGTCTTGAAGTATTGAAAGAAGTGTGTGAAGTGAATGGATGTTGATCAGACCCCCTCCATGCTTCATGACTGCAGTACAAATTCTTCTTATTGATCAAGGTAGGAAGAATTCCAAACCAACGACAAATTTCTTTCTCATGTAATTTTCAAAGGCGCATGTGGTGTAGAGATGGTTGTGGTGTATCTGTTGTGGATACCTGCTATCCGCTGGCGGATACCCGCCAGGGGGTACAGATTTGGCTGCAGATGGCTGCCTTTCCCCCCAAACCTGGCAGATATCTGGGTATCCCCAGGGATGCCTGAGGCCAATAGTATGGCAGTGGCTGGCTGGAAGAGTTTCCTTTTTGGTGCTTCCAGTTGGCAAGGATGTACAGCCCCTTGACAGAAAAAATGGAACCCTTTAATTGGAGTCTAGAGCTTAAACCAATGACAAGAAATTTATGCAGTCTGGTGAAACTGTAGAAAACGAGTTCCAAAGAATGATTCTGAAAAGTTGGAGAGAAAAAAGTTTTGTAAAATTGTTGTTTAATTCTTTGGATATTTTTCAACCATTTTTTAAAGTATCTCAAAAAATCAAGAGCAACACAATAGGCCGGTTCACGTCTGGAGTTCAAGGCCACTTTTAACACACTTGAAGATAAAATTTCATGAATTTTGTCGAATTTCATGAAGCATCAAGTTCAGAGGAATTTGAGATTTTTGATAAATTTGTAAAATTTTAATGATAAATGTCATTGAACTTGCCTCAAAGTTCAGACGTGAACCGTCCTAATTGCATGGAAAAAGAATGATTATAAATGAAAATTTGAAGAAAAATGATCAACAGCTGTTATTAAAGAGCTTTGGAATATGTCATCCACCAGACCAACCCTGCAATCAGGCACTGAAATCAGATTTAATTTCATTCTCAGTCCAGTTTCTTCTGCTCTCTAAACCTTGGATCATCATTTTTTTTTTCCATTTCACATTTGTAATCATTCTTTTCACATGTGATTGTTTTGATCCTGATTTTTTGAGCTACTTTGAAAAATGATTGAAAAATACCAAAAAAGTCAAAAAAAAATGAGGAAAAATATACCACTTTTTTCTAAAACATTTTTCTATCCAAAATTTTCAGAATCATTAATTGGAATTCATTCTCCACAGCTTTACCAGGAGGCACAAAGTTCAGTCCATTGGTTTAACCTGATCTAGACCCCAATCAAAGGGTTCCATTTTTTCTGCCAAGGGGCTGTACCTTGCCCGCTGGAAGGGTTTCCTTCCAGTTGTCAAGGTACATGTACCTTGTCAACTGGAAGCCTTCCAGCCGGCAAGGTTGTGCCTCACCGACCATTTAAAGGGCGGGTATCCAAAGATACCCGCTAAGGCGGGGGGATACCCGCCAGCGGCTGCGGACGGCAATTTCCCTGGAAAAAGCAGCCGGATATCGGGATGCGCCGGGACCATCTCTAATGTGGTAAAGACAATGATCACTACAGTCCTCATGAATCTGATCAAATATTCTGAGATACTGTACTTCACATCAAAGAAAGTGTTGTCATGACCTCATGATTTGGTTCATGAAGAGCACTCCACCCATGTAATCTGGTGATATCACTGCCCCTTTTGTATATTTATGTATAAATTGTCTGCACATATCTCCCAGACTTCTCTCAGCAGTGTTGTCATTAGGTCACTCACCCATGCCCAGCCATCTTGAATCCATCCTCCTTTTCCAACAGGGGGATCCCTTATAACACAGTCCCCCCAAAACCCCCCACATGTTTTAGATCCTCTAAAAAACCCTTTGAAAGAACAAAAAAAAACTCCCAGCAAATTGAACCACATGTTTGTAAAGATGATCAAAAACAATGAGCAAGTCACAATATTAAATGTATTCTTGTGTGTGTACTTGAAAAAACAATGAAAATGTCCGCAAAAAATACATATGTATATACAATATGCATATGTTCTAGTAACCTTTCATCTGTATATATATATATATCAGAATTCTTCTTCTTCAAAGAAATGGAATGGAATAACAAAAAACAACAACAAATTCAACTCAAAAAAAGAAGTATAAAAAAACAGAGACTGAAAACCAAAAAAAGGGATGGGTCAAGCAAGTGTTGGAGGGAAGAAGATGAGGATGGGAGCTATTAAGAGGTGCATGAAAAATGAAGAAGCAGGGATCATAATGTAGCAATACTCGGGTGGGATGGGAGAGAGAGAAAGGGAGGACGTTCTTGGGCTTCTTTTAAAGAAAAAGCGGATGGGCAGAGGGGGAGTGGTTGGTTGATTAATTGGTCAATGACCAAAGAAAACAAAAAAATGTGTTTTCGTTACGTTCTCTGACAATACCTCCAATAAGAAGAAGAAGAAGAAGAAGATAGGATGAGGACGAAGAAAGATAAATTAAGAATAGAAGACGTCGAAGGAGGATTAAGAGGAGAGTTCGCGGATGAGAGCGCCCTTCAATTTAGCGCGAAGATAGACGAGTCGGTCCTGGTATTTCGCCGCGACTTTGAGTCTCGAGTTAGCGATGAAGGTGAGTTCGACGTTGAGTTCGGATTCCTGGTTGGGGTCGGACCTGAGGATGTCGATCTGCTCGTTGTGGAGGAGGATGGCGCGACTATTATCTGTAGGATGAGTAGTCGTTGAAGAAGAAGAAGTAGTAGTAATAGTAGTGGAGAAGGTGTTTGAGGAGTTTTCGTTTGTGGAGAGAGAGGAGAGGAGCGAGGGTTGACGTTGGTGGAGGGAATTAGAGGCCGGACGTAAGTCGCGATAGATCGACCTGGTCTTGGGCTTGAACGAGCGAGGGTTGAGGAGCGGGGCGAGGAAGGAGGTGGGTCTTAGGCTAGATTGGCGACGGGCGAGGGCGTCGTCGGAGAGGACCATATGATCGGGGAGGCCCGGCGTAGCTGTTGAGGAGCCGGAGAGCATCGGCGAGCCCATGCCAGCCTGGCCTTGGCCCTGTTGTTGGTTGTTGTTGTTGAGGAGCATGAGCTGGTCGAGCTCCTCGAACTTGGTCACCGGTCCCCCGGGCCCTGCACGCGGCACGGCCCGGTACTTGGCCAAGAGCGTCTTCTCCATCTCGTCGAACGTCTGGAGCAGCTTGGCGCACTCGAGCTCGAGCTCGTCGATCTCCTGCTTGATCTCCGTCGAGCTCCACTCGATCTGCCGGTAATCCTGGGCCCCGCCAAGCTTGCCCTGCTGGAGCAGGAGTTGCTGTTGTTGCTGTTGCTGGGCGGGTGTGAGTTGATGGTCGTTGATCGTCCGGGGCGAGGGACTGGCAGACATGTACCGGGAGGGAGCCCGCCTTGGGAGAGGCGAGGAGTCGAACGGCGACTCGGTCCGACGGGTGCTAGGCGAGGAGAGTTCACCGGGGGCTGTAGAGGAGAGCCGCATGGTGGTCGACAGTTGTCCGTTGCTGCTCATCCGCATCCCTGTCCCAGCATCCCCGAAGGCCGATGGGTTGGTGAACAGACTGGACTGACACGAGTCTGACTGCATTGCTGAATGCACCGATCCTGCCCGACTCGATGCCGTCCGTAATAAGCGGTGGTCATACATGCTCTGATCCCCGGCCATCGTCTCCGTCCCATTCATCCCTCCCTGGCGCGATGGCCGGCGAAATATCATCTGCAGAAATGACGACGTCGAGCGCGACGATCGCGCAGACCTTAGCGTAGGTGCATCGCACTGGGATCGTCGGTCATTCGTGTGAATCGATTTAGGGTCGGGCGAGTAACATTGATTGGGTATTTCTACGATATAGATATAAAAAAACAGTTTTTAACTTTTCAATTTTTTTTTTCAAGTGGTTGTTTTGTAGGAGAGAACATACGTTGAGACTTAATAGGAGAGTCGCCGAAGGAGGAAGGGGCGATTGGGGAAGAGTTTGGCAGCAGATTAGAGGAGCGTTCGATGAGGACGGGTTGCTGATGACTAGCATTAATCTGGTCGAACAAGCCCTTCCTGAGGGTCCTGTATTCGTCGTCATCGAGCAGTCCGTCATGGTTTGCGGTGGCCAGTTCTTGGAGTCTGAGAGCGAGTGATTGGGTGAGTACTTCGACCTCCTCTGAGTGGTTGTTGTTGTTGTTGTTGTTGTTTTGGGGGGTGTATTGCTGTTGAGACCATGAGGGAGATGTTGAGGAGGAGGTTGAGGATGAGGCCCGATGGGTTGGAGTGTGTGTAGTGTGGTTGCTGAATCGTGGTTGTTGGTGTGGGTTGTACTTGATGGCTAGGGATGAGTTGATGGCTGTAGGATGTTGTTGGAGTTGTCTGTTGGGTGTTGTTGTCTGCTGGTGTTGGATTGCTTCCTGCCATGCTTGTTCTTTGAGTTTCCTGGCTTTCAGACTGGGTGGTGGTGGTTGGGTTGGTGTTGGTGTTGGTGGTAGTTGTTGGTGTTCATTGTTGCTGTTGTGGCTTCGTTTGAGTGAGCTGCTGAACCAGGATGGCATCCGGAGTGTTTCCCTTTTTCTTGAGGTTGTTGTTGTTTTTTTGAGATAAGCTTTGTTGGCTGGTGGTTTAGTGGTGGTGATGGGTCGGAGTTGGCCAATTCGCATTTTCCAACTTCATCCAACTCAGACCCACAATATAAACTCAAAAAAATAACCGACAACCGATGTTTAGCATCTGTCTACACACATCCACATCCAAACAAGCATCAACCAACATCTGCACATTGCCCGTCTACATACCCAGTCAAATTCCCTCCTGGGCGACGCCAAAGCCGAGCCGGTGCAAAGATCCTCTCAGACTGAGCAGTCATACACATCGCAGTCCTGTATCCTGATTCTCCAGATCAATCTCAACCCCGCACTTCTACCATGCACGCTTAACTCTCCGTCAAGTCTGGAAGAGCTGCCATCGCCGTTTACAGTGTTTTTTTGACCCCCCCCCCCCCCCTCAGTTCCAAAGCAACAATCTATCCAAAGCCACGACCAGCTCACATGACAGCCATCGATATAAAAAATATTTTATTTGGCCAAAAATCATGATTGAAGTGGTGTAAATTGAGTCCTGGAAGGGTTCTAAAAGGTTCTAAATCCTGACAGGAAGAAGTCATCGACATCCATTCTCATTATGGTGGCATCAGCCAAGGTGTCAGGTCACATTGTCCATTCCATACACACACAAATCACTTTGCTTGTCTACACAACCATCCAGGAATAGGATTGCCTGCTCCCTCTGGTCTCTCCGTCTCAGAATATCCAGGCACACTTTCTACCACAGCACCAATCAGGCTCATGTGCCTTTTTTTTACAAACAAACTTGTCAAACCAAACAACTATCCAGATGATTCAAAAGAAAACCTGAATTAATGACAATCATCCTAGGCCCTCCAGCTTCTGGGAAGACAGCCCTGGCCACACAGCTCACATTGGGACTGGATGCCAATCAAATTCAAAGCCGCCCTGACCATCAATCTCTAGGCAGTTGGTGCATATCAGAAAGGTGTCTTCTTTGAGGCTTTCTTGGAAATCTACAGATGGGCAGGAGTCCAACTGTGGAAGGACCTGATCACTGCAAAGAACACTCTCAGACAAACTGTCTACAACATTGGCAACACAAATATTCAAGAAACTGGGCAATGGCCTCAAGCCATGATATTGTGACCACACCCAAGCACTTCCAAGCCTCTCATGGTATCTGGAGACAAGCCTGCAATTCCTCCCAAGCCCAGCCTGTTGGGTTGGGTATGTAGCCGGGTGTGCCTGGATCTTTGGAGAATAAGCCTGGGTATACCCCCTCTTTATTATGCATCAATCCCGCCCACTATTTGACACTTGTCTTGGGAATCCTGTCCTGTTATATAAGTACTTCCTTGAACTGGTTGAAACCAATCCACATCTTTAAGAGTAAGATAAATGGATTCTTTCAGCCATCAACCTTTGACATTCCCTTCAAAATGACAAGAGGAACAATGTACTTTATTCAAGAAATACATCTCTCAGGTTGTGAAGTCTAGAAACTTTGATGATTGTGGATATATTATATGAATCAATGATGTATGTACAGTGGGTTGACAGAAAAAATGGAACCCCCAAACACTGAATTCTGGGGGTGAATCTGAAGATTTTTCAATTTTTTTTTTTTGCAATGTGGGACATTGAGGGGCTGGGAAGCTAACTGTGGGGACAGTTTTGTATCATTGCAGAAAAAAAAGTTACAATTAAAAAAAAACCTGCAATTTTTAAATTTTTTAATAAGGCCAGGAAAAACCTGTAGTTTTAGCGCTGTAGTGTGCCAAATGTGTTTCAAGTATCAAAGTACATAAATTCTTGAATCATCTTTGATAAGGATATTTATTATTGGCTTTATTATTGCATATTTGAATTCTACATCACATTTAACCTATAGTCAATCACTGGAACCACTAGGCTAGCTCGACTCAGTCAGAAGTTATTTAGATGTTAAGGTTATGATAGAACATGATTACAAAGCATAGTGGTACATTAGTAGTGCATAGTATAGATTTAGATCTAGGTAAATGGTTATGGCTAGAACCACAATCTAGCCATTTTTGAAATTATCAGTTAGGGCTAGAACCACAAGCCAGCCGGTGTGTAAATAGACTATATAAGCAGGCCTTTTTGCCCCCCTCAGTTCAAGTTCCTCATGCAATCCCAGCATCAACATATATCTCACTTGGAGATTTCAACCCATCCATAGGGGTGATCTCAAACAAGTATCTCATCATCACACAGCCTGGCCAGCTGGTGATCATCATCATCAACCCCCCCTTCTTCAACACCTGTGATCTTAATCAGGTTCTTAGATAGCTTGTCTCATAGCACTTCATATATATCAATTGATCTAGGTCTGATAGAGACTACTACATAAAGGTTTCTCTATAAAGGTTTTGGCACATCAATATATAAATTTTTGTTGTCAGAATTCTTGTGTTGTACAATAGAGGGGCAGGTCTTTCAAACCACCCGTGACAATATACATCAAACAAGCACAATATCATATTTGTTATTTCCCCCTCACAGTACTGCCACCATTCCCAAAGGAATTCTCACAGCGCAGTGTTAGTACCAATACGCTATGCTGCGCTACAGCGCTTTCAGCCTTTCAGCAGCAAAAACGGCCCAAAAACGGCTAAAATGAGCTGTAGTGCAGCGTAGTGGGCCCTTTTCTGCCACACACATGTGTAGTGTTAGTGCAGATTTCTGTATCTGCGCTAACACTACACTACAATTGTAGTGTGTTTGCGCTACACTACGCTAGACTAACGCTACCCTTGGCGTAGCACACCCATCGTTGCCTTTATGTGATCTGTAAGTAAAAAAACATGAGATGACTGATTTTTCCTGGCAAATTATGCCAATCCTCAAGCTTCTACAAGTGGATTCTTTGAGAGTGGAGTTCTTCATTTTCAAAAACTGAAAGAAAAGACTTGCTTGGGGGTAAAAATTATGTTAATTGGACTGCCAACACTACAATAAGTGTTAGGTTGCATTCTGAAAATATGAGGTAACATTGCATGTCACATGCAATGTCACCTTGCATTTGCAAAATGTGATTGAATTTTTAGCGCTAGAAATTCAATTTCATCTGCAGAATGCAACTCAATCCTTTTTGTAGTGCAACCAGCAGTCTTTCTGGGGGCTTCATGTACCTCCATCAAACAACTACCAGAAGTACTGGCTTTCTGGGAGTTTTTTTTTGTTCATGGAGAAGCTCAAAGCAGTTTGCTGGGGAATTTTCTCTTTGAAGAAACTACTGAAATCAGTTTGGATGGAGGGGATTTCTCCTTCATTTGCATACAGCTAAATGGTGTTAATTAATGGGGAGCTTTCTGCTTCCCCTCATTCAACTCTGCTTTGAGAAGTTTTAGGTAAATCAGCTCTCATAAAAACTGCTTTTAGCAGTTCAATTAATAATATGGAAGCTACCCAGTAAGTTTTTTCTGGCATTCTGAAATAGGATTTTTGAGGCAGCTTCTTCCTTTCTCAAAGAGGTTTGTAAACTGGGAAATTCAGCAGGAAGGATTCCTTGTTCCTCATCCTTCCCAGCTCTCTGTCTCCAAGTTTGTCTCTTTCTCTCCTCAGTTTTCTTTTCTTTCTCTCATTTTCTTTCTGACTTAATTGAACAGTCTCATCCTTCCCAAATTTCTGTCTCCAGTGTTTTCACCTCAACAAGGATTCCACACAGTAGAATAGTGACTGTGATTCCCTGTGGTTTTCTTTTTGCTCTCAGAAACCAAACATTTGAAAGGAAACTGGTATTATAAGGTGCACCAGGAAAAGTAAATGCTCACTAGATGGCAGATGAAATCATGTAACATTGATAAATGCTCCTATGTAGCTGCTCCAAATCTTCTGAAAACCAAATACAATGGACCCTTTGGGTGCTAAAAGGGGCTGAGGCAGAGTTGAGATGGGTATGTAATGGGTAGCATGCTGAACTTGGCTGATGTCACTTGTCATCAAGTGATCAGTGTTTTTTCCTGGTGGTGTTGTTCAACCTTGTTTATCCAAGGGCCATTAATTCTAGCTTCACAAGTGGCACAAATGTAGCAATTTAGATTTTATAGGAAAAAGCACTAAATTGGGGTACATATTCAGAGCTACCTGATTTGACTTTGAACTGTCATTTGTGTGATTTGTTTTACAAAATTCTCCTGCCATGTTTTAGATGCTTGACTGTGGCACAGTAAACAGCTGCAGATAGAAATTTTGATAGTAAAATTAACCTGTTAAGATATTGAGTTAACTGTTAAGGTGAACAACTCTGACAAGGTTCTCAAATTTTTATGTTTGGCTAAAGGTTTTTGATCAAGTTTCAGGCTGGAAAATGTATTGTGACAGTAGATGATAAGGTGGAATAAAAAATTTGAATCTATATATATAAAGCATAATAGGAGTTATCTTATCCAGAGGATGAAACAATCAAAGCCCCTGAAGGACTCAAGTTAAGTATTAAATGGATGTCTGGCTGTATCACAGATAACTAGGCTTCAATCTCAGCATGTTTCAAGTAAAGTTTGTTCTAACACTTGCCGTCTATTGAGTATTCCATTTTTTACAGCATAAATATTACAGCCACATGTCAAAAGTGATTTAGACTTTGGCAACAGATCACATGTATCATTATTTCTTAAATTAAAATAAAACATCAGAACCCTCAAGTCTTCTTCAATCTCAAACCATCTGTACATACACAGACTCAATTCAGGAATCAAAAATCTACCAAACTTCTATTCATCAAGCTTTAGCAAGTAAATCTATTCATTTTGGAGCTGAATTTCCTAGAAAGAAAAGAGACATGTCACAAGGCAGACCAACAATCATGGAATGGTTCACATTTTCCTTGTTCCTTGGCTTATGCTCCATCAGTGACACAAATGCAAATGAGGAATCAAACACCAAAAATTTGGGGGCATTTTTTCGACCTTGGGAACAGTCATTCACAGATAATGATATCAACTTTAATGAATTGGATAAATATTTGTCTTCTCAAAAAGATTTGAACACATGTGAATCCCCAGTCATTTCCCAAACTACATATACATACCTTTTCCACCCTGAAAAATTGTTATCTGGACCAAATCAGGACCATACAAGTGATCTGGTTCAATCTAAAATGAATACAAACTTGGACCTGCCAGAAATTCAGGCAGGTTTTGATTGGTCTCAAATTGAAATTGGTAAAATTCTTCCTCATGAAATTTCAAGGACCAAAAATTGTTTTGAAAAAAACTTAGAAACTAATTTAAATGAATCATGTGAACCAAATGCTTCAGAAAATC